AACCAGTCACGCTTAATCAAATCACATACAAAAATAATTAACTACCGGTAAAATTTTTCACAACACCAACAAGGTACTCGAATAAACGTGATAAAAATTAGCACAGTTCAGTTCACGGGCACTGGAGTACTATTATCTTCCATTATTCGAAACGGTATTCGAAAATTCCAGTAGTCGCAAACGCCTGTGTTTGCAATACGAGGTCTGAAACATATGTTATGTTGGCTGGATGGTAGCATGAGATGTAAGCAATCACTTGTACGATCGATAATGTCGTTCGCGGAGTGGCGATTATTGGCGCTCGACGGAAATGTCCAGAATTACATTATCACAAAGTGTCGTAGGCAAATTATTATTATTATTATTATTTTTTTTTTTTTTTTTTAAGCACTATAACAAACTTCTGAAAAAATTATTACATCACACATGAAACAAACACGTTTTTATTGCACATACGATTATTTTAATTTCAAGTGTGCGATAAAACAAGTTAAAATTATACAAAACAGAAGTGAAAAAAAAAAAAATAACAAACTAACGTACAAACTCATTGCGCCTGGGTGACTGCTGTAAATAAAGTGGCAAATATATCTATGTTATGTCGGTATTGATATTATACATATACTTATTTCCGTACTTCACCAAGCACAGCTTGGCCCAAATAAGTAGTGATAATACAATAATTACTTCTTCAGGTCATGATTTATGAATTCATTCGTCAGATAAGTAGTGCTTGAAGAAGAAGCACTACTTCATGAAGTATAGCTTCTTTGCGAAACAAGCTTCCGACTATGAATTCCAGCCTTACAGTACAGTTTTAAGAAATTGCGTAAAATAATGGAATTTTACACATTTTTCATTTGCAGCAGTCTTGCGATTTTTATGAAGTATATTTTGTTAAGCACGCCTCAGAACTAACTAAGAAATTACGTGTCAGTCATTCTTTTAAAAATATTTTGTTTGGAAATATTCCCAAACATTAAGATTGTGATTTCGGCATGTTGTAATGCAAAAACTATATGACACTAAAATGTATTTGTGCGAGGAAAGAGTCCGTACAAGGAATGTCAACAGGTTAAATTGTATTTTGTACGAATATAAAATAATAAATTGTCTGGTAACCAACGCTGTTAAGGTGCTATTTCACATTTATTTTATTTGGTTATCTGAAAGAGCTTTCGAAAAGTGCTCTCTTAATGCAGTTATTAGTTGTCAAAACGATATAATTTTCAAAACATATCACTCAAAATTCTTGATTTCCAGAATTCTGCAGCATACTAGGCTTTGCTCCTAGATATTTTTTTCCAGTCAAATTGCAATTAAATGCATTCTGTATGGTGTGCAGAACATACTGATTCAGTATGTGTGCGATTTGTAAACAGGTGACCGAGTATTGGCCCTCTGAATTTTGTTGAAAATAGGGGTCAGACTTGTCGTAAATATATTTTTGTTCTTTCAAGCTAAACTGATAACATTCATTTAATAAATAGTTTAAACCATAAACTGTAGAGGAAAAGTTGTTTTTGTTCCTTACGTAGCTTGTTACACAAATGCAGTATGCCGCGCTTCGAACCTGCCTATAGCACTCGTGTCGGAATTCGAGTGTTACATTTAGAAAACTATAATGATTTGACAACTAACAACTGCATTAAGAGGACACTTTTTGAAACCTCCCTCAGACGAACATATTCCAAAAAAATTAGAAATATCACCTTAAAGCAGCCGTCCACTCAGAGAGCGACCTGGGTTGCAGTATGTTTGTAATACGTGCTCTAAAACAAACTATTTGACGTGTGCACACGAAACTAAATAACTCTTCAGACTACGGTCGAAGAAAACTCTGATAGAACGTTACAGTTTGCGCCACCTGTATTTCGCGAAAAGATTTACGCAGGAGCTAGCTAGACTTCAATATCCTATGTGCACACTTCAAGCTTTCACCGTAAAACATTCTCTGGTAAACTTCCTGAACTGTAATGGAAATGTTTAACGTATATATACTCAAAATTTGAATAAGTGGAAAAACATTGATTCGCAGGGAAAATGGCTGCACTTAGAATCAGTGAAATTTTTCACATCACTTTCAATCAGAGTAATTTTTCCACTGAAACAATCAGTGTCCCCCCCCCCCCACCCTGATTCTAAATGGAGCCATTTTCACTGCGAATCAGTGGTTTTCCACTGATTCGAATTTAGAGTGTACACTGTGCCGAAATAATACCAGACACCAAGCTGCAGATATAGGAATGTTTAGCGTCCCTCCTCTACAGAGCTGGGGACTTCCCTACGCATTTGACTGTTTCCTGAGCAAATGTGGGAACGCTGTAATGATTGTATAAGGGGACAAATTACCATTCCCGCTTTCTCGCTAAGCGTATACACTGGTATGGTACATTTCCGAATAATTTCTTAGAGGGTTCGTCGGCTATTGGTCGCTTGTCTTTGTGTGAAGAGTCCGTTGCATGAGTGAGCAAATCTGAATTAAGTTTCTCCGACACTGACCGTCTGTGATTCGCGCGCAGACAGATAAAGATGTCTAACAACTCAAATGATCAAATCATGAGAATGGTTCTGAACTAGTGTTTTGGAACGCACCTTTTCTTGATATCTTTTCGCAAAATACAGTTTCACCTAGTCATAGTTCTTCAAAAAAGAGCTGACTAGTAGAAATAAATCCACTGGTTTTATTATTTTGTCCAGCCAAAAAAAAAAAAGATGTTATTTTAATGTCATTGTGGGTTTTTATTACTTTGTTGCGTTGGTTTATATCATATTTTCGGGTTATAGCCTTGTTTACAATCATGATTTGTCAATACTGAGGTAAGTATTAGTAGTTAGATAGTTGGATTTTTTAAAAGCCATGTTATCTTTTTAAAGTGGTCTTTGCAGTCAAAATCTATGTTTTCAAACTTGTTTTTTTTTAGCGGGGCGTCGGAATACATGGCTAATTATGTATTCCGAATGTAAGTATCATTTGAATACTTAACTTCTGCTCTTAAGGCGAAAGGAAAGACTTATCTACTTACTTTCAGTCTAATAAACACAAACATTTTATTTTCGGACTGACGAAACTGCTGCTAAAGAATAAATATACGAATAAAATACGCTTAAACAAATACCTGTACATCTTTTTGAATTCAAAGAAAATTCGGTAAATTTGATTGTTTTTTTTTTTTTAAACAAGCCGTAATAAATATAAAATTAATAACGCATAATTGCACGTTTGAAATCGCACTTAGTGTATAATTGCATGCTATATGCCATCACCAACAGCAAAAATTGGGTTGATCATACAGCATTAACAGGTTATCTCTACTTACATAATGTTCATTCTGTCATAGGTCTGAATACTTAAACATTTTTCACTCAAATACTGCAATTTTTGTTTGTTTGCTCTGCCTCCAATAATGAGGGCTAATATCAGGAATATTCGCAAATAAATATGAGAATTTGTTAATTAACCAAGCGATGCTGGTTACACAAACAATGGCCAGGAAATATCGTGTTATTCGCAGCTGCGTCGAAATGGATGCTTGTAGAGTCTGGCAACATTGTGTAAAAGTGATGCTCTCTACTCGCCTCACCGCATTAGAGTTATTGGACAGGAATCTTGTGAATGTGCGTAGACGTACGTGAAAATATTTAGACGTCGAAACGTTTAAACAAACAACAAACGTAGTCGGGAATTATAACAAGAACATAAGACAGTACAAACAGCACACAGTTTTATCTTTTAAGAAGCGCATTACGGTTTGGTAAAATTTAAAGTGTTCCTAAGCTGTACATTTGGTGGGCCGCAAGGCACATGGATGATATCGGTATTTGTGTGACTGAACATAAGAGAGTAATTTCACCTCAAGTCTCCTCGAGCAGTTGTTGGAAGAAGCTCATTGTTTAGAGTATATTCCATTCACGGTTACTTCGCACTTTTGTGAAGCCCTGCTTAAGTGCTACTTCCAGAATAATCCTCCGCCTCGTACAAACCAGCCTTAACTACGTCTATAAATTACACCAAAGAATAACGCACCGAATGCGTACGAACTTAGTCGCAAAGATTGTTCACGATAAAGTGAGCAGTTTTGAAATTAATTTTAGCAAAAAGTCACTGCCCCTACCTGCAAATATTTCGACGGGCGCATAGTGCGGCATGCGCCCAGTAAAGTTGGTAACGATGGATGAGAAGTAGGTCCATATCTTAACGTCGAATAAAAAGTGTTTGATAACCATTTGTGAGAACTTAATTTTTTTTTTTTTTTTTTTTTTGTTTTTTTTTTTTTTTCTTGCTGACTCCAAGTGTAAAAATGAGCAAATTTATAATTATTTACTTTTCAAAAATTTCACAGTTTCACCCGACTGACGCATGAATAAAGTGATGAGGTACATGGCAATATTAATTATACATAAGGTGGACGAGTACAGAACGTGCATACAAGTAGATTTTAAACAGGGCTTGCGAAAGTGCTCAGTTTACCGTAAACAGCTTGTAATAGTATTTTGCATGAGAAATATTCCTGACTAGACGCTACCAACGGTCAATTTTCTCACTGCTGTTATTCATATTTATTATTACGGAAATATTATAATTTATAAACGAAATTGAAATGAAACTTAAATTTAACGAAAAATAAGACACGTTAATGTTAACAGAGGTATAAAAATTTTGTGATACATGGCATATTTAGGGAACAACTAAACACGTTATGCTTGGGGTGATATTTCAAAGGATTGATTCGAAAAGTCTGAAGAAACCGCGAATAGATAATACTCTTAGGAGGACAGATAAAAGAAAATCAGCAATACCGCTGTTATCGCCGATTGTTCACCATGCAAGAGTTGTTTGCGTGAAGAGAATAGGTTTAGATTTTGTCGTTTTGCATCGCGTCGGATGTTTACTCTCGCGAGGCACAAGTATGGCCTCGTTTACATTTACTCCTGTCATTTTTCTGTTTGATTTATCGAAATTAATGTAATACAAAATACATCAAAATTGCTAATTATGTGGTAGTATGGCCGAGTGGTCTAAGGCGCTGGTTTAACGCACCAGCCTCTTCGGAGGCGTGGGTTGAAGTCCCGCCGCTGTCAGAAATTTTAAGTACTTACGTTTATTTTTATTTTATTTTTTTCAGTTAACAGAGGCAGCATAGTCCTCATAGAGTACATACTATACCGTGTCGCTCTTACTGCATTTGAAATAAATTTTGTTGTAAGTAATACATGGCGTGGAATTTCCCGCCTATCGATAAGATAATTTAAATGTCATCTCAACTATACGCAAAATCAAAGAAAAACACGTAGTAGATTATTTATGTATAGTCAGTAACCTCCAGGATTTTCGATTGATCTTAATAAACAGCTTACAAGCACTACATATTGTAAATATCTTTCGAACCTCCTGTATGACAACTTGAGTGAGTGAAGAGATTTCGGCGGCTCTTGGTATCGAAGTCTTGAGAAACGATGAGGGCGAAGCGAAGTCATTATGGAGCAGCGCCGGAATGCAAGGCCGGTGGATACAGGAGATCCCCGAGAAAACCCGCTGACCAGTGGCATCGTCCGGCACGATTCCCACATGCAAAAGTCCGGCGGTGACTCCGCCGGGAATCGAGCCCGGTTCGCCTTGGTGGGAGGCGAGAAGTCTAATCGCTACACCGCCGCGGCCCCTACGACAAGAGTTATGCGAGTGTCTGCATGTTGAATGTCAGTTCTGTTATCCCACAATGCTTCACATATTTTCAAAGATAGATTTAAGTACAGCCTTCTTATAGATGGGTTCAGTTCTTGTTTGGATATCTTGTTATCAAAAGAAATCTTCAGAATTCGACAGCTTCAATTTTAACGACGACGAACTGTACGAGACAGCTTTCTATTCGAATCTTGAATAAAAAATCTGAGCACGATTATTTCAATTTACAAGTAACCCTAATATTGGTATTTGTTTTCTTCAGTGTTGGACACGTTTAAATATGAGTGTTTCCGGACGATAATGCTGTGATATTTATCTTTGCGATACTCCGTGTAAGCATTTTGGAACATCTCGAGTGTGGATAGTCTCATTAGTCAAACTGCAGTCGCTTCGTTATCACAATAGTCAACTGTCCTAGAGAAATTTCAAAATTTGTAAACCAAGTCGGAGAATAAGTGAGCTACTTGGCTGCTTTCCAAAAGCGTGCTCTGCCAAAACCATTAAAGATAATTTGGAACAATGTTACAAGTAAAAGTCGCGAGTAGTCGCATGTAGTCACGGGAAGTCGCGTGTAGTCGCGAATAGTCGTAGGTAGTCGCGTGTAGTCCCATATATAGGCATGCATTTCAATAACTCCATAAAACCTGAGCGAAGCTATGGCGGGCTGTTAGTATAAAATGAATAACACAATGTTAACTATTAAAAATGTATTGGTAGGGATAAATATTTATTGACAAGATATTTGAAGGGATACAGTTTATAATTTCCGATTTAAAATCTACATATATTTGCCGTAAAGTAGGATTACAAATCACAAAAACAATAACATGTAAATAACATGCAAAAATAATTGTCTTAAATTCTACACAACTTCTCTATTTAAACTCCGTGGTTGCAGCGTTGGTGAGTACAGCCCTTAAGAGGTAATATTTTCAGCACCGGTAGTATCTGTCTCGTGCACAGCCTTCGTCCAAAGAAAAGCGAGACCAAGGAAACCAGCCTCTTTATTTTCCTTTTGTTTCTACTCGGCGTGAATATTGTTCTTGTAAGCATCATTTAGTCGTGAATAACAGTTACTAAATAAAGTTAATACTGAACGTTTTGGCTGGGACAAATATATACCACTATTACAGCCAAACACGAAATTTTACCCACAAATAAAGATAATTTGTATAATTTCCGCCGGGGGCCGCGGTGGTACAGTAGTAAGACTACTCACCTCCCACCACGGGGAACCGGCGAGGTCGCTCGCGGATTTTCGCATGTAGAAATCGTGCCGGTGTAACAGGCGAATTTTACCTCCAGGAAAGGACCGTCACCCTCGCGATCGAGACAGGAAAAGAACGTTCTAAGTACAACGTTATACCATTGGTGAGATGTCGGCACAGTGGGGTGACGTGCGGAAAAAAAAGCGGTGTTCAGAATAGAGGCTGTTCTGAAAAATAATTTTTTTTTTCTCGGAAAGTGGTACAATTCCACTCTACTGATTACACAGAAAACGAAATTACTTGGCTTGAAAATCATTTCTGGGGAAACTCCAAGCTTCGCTGATGCGTGACTGCTTCGCGGTCACTACCGTGCCTTGAATCACTGTTTTGGGTTTTAACTCCTCTGCTGGCGCTGAGGACTCTGGCTCGGTGCGTAATTTCTGGCTACGCTTGAACAGTAATTTTATTTGCGAGGGGCATGTGCCTGTTCCTTAAATTGTTATTCTACCAAGGGGGGCGTTCTGGCTAGAAAGCGACGAGGGTAACGCTCTCGGGGATTAGTGTCGACCTAATGTATTGTGGTCAGCCGAGGGTTGTGAACAGTGTTATATTGTTGTCGCGGTTGTCAGCGGACCGCCAAGCTGCTTTGACAAGTGACGCCCTTCAGGCATTCAAGGGGTAAAATTCGCCTGATACACGGGACGATGCCGCTGGTCGGCCAGTTTTCTCGGGATCTCCCGTTTCCCCCGCTCTTTTATGCCGGCGCTGCTTCATACCCATCTCACTTCACCCTCATCGGCTCTCAAGACGTCAACGTTGAAATTTTTCCCTATGCCAAACTGTCCCGTAAGAAATCGCGTACCTGAGTAGAATAAAACTTGTCCTCGCACAGTCGGCTGCTCCAATGTCTCGCTTCCTGACTAGACAGTAAATCCCGTCTGGTATGCATCGCCGCCCGCCTTCCGTCGTTCTACCTTCCGCTTTGGGGCGCACCGCGACGCAGCTACCTCTAGCAGACGAGCAGGGGTCCCGCACATCCGGGACTGGCGGCGCGGAAACTGGCGCTCGCCAATCTCTCTCCCCCCCACCCCCAGTCATTCCGTGCGTGGTTCGTTGAAGCTATATACCATTACTGAGGATCTAACCTGTCACTCCCAGTCAGCACAGTTTCAGCTGTTTCCGGACTGTCAGTATATACATGTAAGTAAAGGCTGTGCTGGATAAAGTAAGCACTTTTGAAATCGACCTTAGAAAAATGTCACTGCTCCTGCCTGCATATATTTTAACGAGCGCGCTGAGTGACGTGCGCCCAGTAAAGTTGGCAATGCTGGATGGAAAGTAATTCCAATTCTTAACGTCGAATAAAACGTGTTAGGTAACCATTTGTGATAACTTAAATTATTTGTTTCGCTTTTTCACCTCGCCGACGCATGAATAGTGTTGAGGCCCGTGCCAATGTTAATTTTCCATAAGGAGGATAGTGCGACATGCGCCCAATAAAGTTGGTAACGATGGATGAGAAGTAGGTCCATATCTTAACGTCGAATAAAAAGTGTTTGATAACCATTTGTGAGAACTTAATTATATTTTTCGCTTCTTTTTCTTACTGCCTCCAGGTGTAAAAATGAGCAGATTTATAATTGTTTACTTTTCAAAAATTTCACAGTTTCACTCGACTGACGCATGAATAAAGTGATGAGGCACATGGCAATATTAATTATACATAAGGCGGACGAGTACACAACGTGCATACAAGTAGATCTTAAACAGGGCTTTCGAAAGTGCTTAGTTTACCGTAAACAGCTTGTAATCGTATTTTGCATGAGAAATATTCCTGACTAGGCGCTACCCACGGTCAATTTTCTCACTGCTGTTATTCATATTTATTATTACAGAAATATTATAATTTATAAATAAAATTGAAATGAAACTTAAATTTAACTAAAAATAAGATACTTTTATCTTAACAGAGGTATAAAAAACACAACTATAAACATTTATTTATTTTGTCATGTTTTGTACCTTGACATCTTACGAATTTAAGCGCTGAAACATGGCTTTAGCCGGGAATGAGGAATTAATAGGAGCGTATTATTTCCAGGAAGGAAATGAGCGGCAGTGTAGAAATATTGTACTCTGGTTGCTTGGCAGAGCAGCAAGACAAAGGTCGTGTGTTGTTTTAAACGAAAACTAATACATAAATATATGACAATATAATTTCTGTTTTTGGTCGTTGTACACTTGGAGTACAGATTGTATAGAAGGAAAACAAATTGCAGAAATATAGAAATTCTTCCACCTCAGTATCCTGAGGTGGTGTGTATCTGTTCAGCTTGTCTCGATTTCACAGGTGTTAATACCACACCGATAGTCTTGGGATATTGTTTTATCACGTCAGTATAAGATTGTAAACAAATTAGGGCAGTTGTTATGGGATCTGTTGCATTTATTTATCGCATGTAAAGCGGCATCACACAGAAACTGGCATTCTTTCCTTGTCCCTCGATACGTACCTTACCAAGTTTGAAATATACACATTGATAACAAAAAGAAATACAATTCAGTGGGGTTTGTAATAACTTGGAAATGCTGATTACAAATTTAATATTATTTCTAAGCATACACCTGGGAAATATGCTGCAGACGTCTACAAAACGCTCAGAAATTTATTCATAATTGGAAGTACATTTATTACACTGACAATAATCTACACATACAACAGAATTACATTTTAATACTTATTAACATTTGATGCTTGCTAGCGTTATAACCAAAAACCGAAACGTACACGATAATTTTCACATCTGAAATACGATATGGCAACTATCATAATTACGCAGGTATGCCCAGCAAGTATACAATTTCAAATACTTGCCAACTATAGTGCCTGTGTACTATACTGGGAATTCGGACAGTGCTAGTATAAACATGGTGATGTCACTTCCGGGGATAGGTACGCACAAGTATGCATTTCTTGAGAATCCGTAAACAGGCTAAGCTAGTACATGATGAATGTTTAATTCGACTCCAGATGTTTAACTATTTTACGTAGATCAAACATGGTGTTTTTTATATGGAGTTGTTTATAAGTATTCGTAGCACGCCAACAAATTGTCTTTGTTTTTTATTCGGAATGTGATTTTTTTTAAATTCTGTGTTGTGCTTACTCATCGCCGAGACGTTGTAAAAAC